AAGCTCAAGTTTTCTATTTACAAATATGGGGAAAAAATATCGGTTTCCATCTCCTATTATTTTTTCCGATACCTTCCTCCCGGCCGTCCCTTGCTTCCTGCACGGTTGGCCTCCTCTGTGTGGGACGGGTTCGTGTGGGTGTGGGGGGGTGCTGGGGATTGGGGGAGTGGTATGGGTGTTGTGGGGGGGGTGGGGGTGAGGGGGTGTGTGTGTACTGGTGTGTGGGGGGGGTGTATGTGTTGTGGGTGGGTGGGTGTGGTGTTGGGGGAGGGAAGGGGTGTGTGGGTGTGTGGGGGTGTTGGGTGTGTGTGTGGGGGTGTGGTGGTGTGGGTGTGTATGTGTGGTGTGTGTGTAAGAAAAAAAGGGTTGATTCAATATTCATTAAAGCAATGAAAGAGAATGTCTTTAATGCTTTTAACTACCAAGAAAGTCGATTGTCTCCGTGTCTCATATCCAGTGTTATGTAGCATGTAACAATATTCATATTTCAACATTTTGAAACGGATGTAAAACTAAAATAATAAATAATGATCCCGTTAGTGAAGGTTGCTTAAAAAATAATAAAATAAAGAAAAAAGAAAGAGAAAAAGAAAAGAAGAGAGAGAGAGACAGAGAGAGCGAGCGAAGAGAGAGAGAAGAGAGAGACAAAAGAGAGAGAGAAGAAAAAGAGTGCGTATACGTGTGTATGTGTACGTGTGCATGTGCGTGTGCGTGTATGTATGGGCGTGTACGTGTGTGTGTGCGAGTGTGCATGTGCAATTCACCCCAATTATGCACAGATTTCCCTCCCAGAGTTCCCCCCTCCACATGGCCGCGTCAGTGCAGAATCCCCAACTAACAGACTTGACAAATGGTATAACTTACCCTGTGACCGGGGGGGGAGGGGGGGGGGGGGGGGGCTATGGCAGGCAGCTTGGTAAAATCACTTAGTTGTTCTGATACCAGATAAGCCACGAAGGAGAGAAAAGATGCAGTGAAAAGATAAAAGATACAATCAGATGTTATTTTATATATTAGGTTGTTGTTGTTTTTCTGTTTTGTTACTAAAACTCTTTATTTGTACTCTGTTTTGTTACTAAAACTCTTTATTTGCACTCTGTTTTCTTACTAAAACTCTTTATTTGCACTCTGTTTTGTTACTAAAACTCTTTATTTGGCACTGTTTTCTACTCTGTTTTGTTACTAAAACTCTTTATTTGCACTCTCTGTTTTGTTACTAAAACTCTTTATTTGCACTCTCTAGCTCTTTTTGTGCACTAAAACAACTAAAACTCTTTATTTGCACTCTGTTTTGTTACTAAAACTTCAACCCACAAAAAGGTACATTCAAATATTTTTTATATATCATGGTTTTTTTTCTGTTGTGTTACGAGCACTATTTGCACAACAGTGACCGTGGATTTGTTTAATTGACCGAATTACAGAAATCAGTAAAATGCAAAACCACATTTCTTAACTCAAGCCATTGTTGAGAATTAAGTAAAAAATACGAGATAATAATTTTAGAAAACAGTCGTTGTAGTTGTTGTTTATATTGTTTTGCCTAGAGCGACGACGTCTGAAAATACATTGAAAAATAGCAAAAGTTCGGATATAACTAAAACTGGATTGAGGTGAAAGAATAATTTGTTTACCAAGAGAGGGAACTGGAATTTAGAAGCAAAGGGCTAGAGCGAAGAGTTTGGTAACATATATATATATATATATATATATATATATATATATATATATTAAGATAGAGAAGAGAGAGAGAGAGGAGAGAGAGAGAGAGAGAGAGAGGAGAGAGAGAGAGAGAGAGAGAGAAAGTGAGAGAAGAGAGAGAGAGAAAGAAAGAGAGAGTTGAGAGAGAGAGAGAGAGAGAGAGAGAGAGAGAGAAAGAAGAGACAGACAGACAGAGACAGAGAAAGAGAGAGTGAAAGTGAGAAGAGAAGAGATGAGAGAAGAGAGAGAAGAGAGAGAGAGGAGTGAGGAGAGAGAGAGACAGACAGACAGAAGAAAGAGAGATGAATGAGTAGAGAGAGAAAGAGAACAAAAGAAGAGAGACAGAAAGAAGAGAGAGGAGAAAAAAAAAACATATTTACGCTAACAAGACCTATTCACATTCTCGAAATCTATTTTAAGAAAGTCGCTAAGGCCATAGCCACTGTCACCCAAAGTGTAATTAGAGAAATATAGGAGATAACTGAGCATCCAATTAAACCAGACACCAACAGCAGAATATGACCGCGCGGTGACAGGGAACAAGCCAGAAAGTGACAGTTTAAATAGGTTTGGATTATACGACGAGTGGATATGGGCGGGCGTGTTTGTGTCTCTGGTCTTCCTTATTTGTCTATTTATTTTCTTTGTCTATGTTTCTGCTTGTTTGGCTTTTTTTTTTTTTTTTTTTTGTCTCTGTTTTTCTCTCTTCTCTCTGTTTGTCTCTCTGTCTCCTTCTCTCTCTCTCTCTCTCTCTCCTCTCTCATCTCTCTCTCTCTTCTCTCTCTCCTCTCTTCTCTTTCTTTCTCTCCTCTCTCTCTCTCTCTCTCTCTCTCTCTCTTCTCTCTCTCTCTCTCTCCTCTCGTCTCTCTCGCTCTCTCTCTCTTCTCGTCATTCGTTTCCCTCTCTCTCTCTCTTTCTGTTCTCTCTCTCTCTCCTCGTCATCCTCTCGCTCCCGCCGTCTTCCTCGCTCCGTCTTCGTCAATGCTCGTCCTCTCCATCTCTCCCCTTCTCGTCCTTCGTCCCTTCCCGTCTCTTCGTCCTTCCTCCTCTCCCTACTCTCTCTCATTACTTCTGTCTCCATCTTTCCCGTTCGCTCGTCTCTCCTCTTCGTCTCGTCTCGTCCTTCCCCCCGCCTCGTCTCGTCGTCATCTCTCTTTTTTTTCCTCTTCCTCTCTTCTCCTCTCTTCTTTTTCTCCTTTCTTTTTCTTTATTTATTTAAACGAACTCACAACGGGATCATTTATTTTTTTTATTTTTAGTTTTACATCCGTTTCCCCAAAATGTGGAAATGTTGAATATTGTTACACTTACAGTTACACTGTAACACTGAATATGAGACACGAAGACATCACTTTCTTGGCAGTTAAGAGCATTAAAGACAAGAACATTCTCTTTGCTTCTTGCTTTAATGAATATTGAACTTATCTTCTTTTATTATTTATTTTTTATTATTTTTTTTTTTTCTTTTTTTTTTTTTTTTTTTTTTTTTTTTTTTTTTTTTTTTTTGTCTTGGCGCGCATCTTTCATTTCATATCCGGAAGTCAGTATCTATTTTTGGGCATACGTATTTTGAAATCAGTCCTTTGTTCATTATGCTTCAGATAAGGTACAAAAAAAATATCAACTTCACAAAATATTACTAAAAGTAATGGAAAGTCTCAAGATATTTTCAGAAAAAACGTATATATACCAACGACAAGACAACAAGGATAAATAGGGTATAGAACCAACCCACACAACGTTTTTTTGTTTGTTTGTTTCAAGCATTAGAATGTAACACCCTCCCTACACAACGCTCTCGTAACTACTGAATGGCCGAAGAGGGTACTGAAGCTACACTTTCATTACGAGGATCGGTCGGCGGGGAAATGGTTCTATCTACAGGGCGTGTCGCTGTTAGCTGGGTGTGGAGGCTGTGGTGGTATTGTATCCTTTGCTCCCTCTTTCTCCCCGCTGTGTCCTCCCCCCCTTGTCCTTCCCTCCTCCTGCCGCTTTCTCTCCTCCACTCCCTCCCCCCATTTTTTTCCTGTCTCTCCTTCCCCCTCCCCTTGTCTCCCCTCTCCCCTCCTCTTTGTCCCCGCTCTCCTTTCTCCTCCTTCCCCACTCCCTTCCTCCTTTCCTCCTTCCGTCGTCCGTCCTATCTCTTCCCCTCANTCCTTGTAATCCAGAGAATCCTTGTAATCCAGAGAATCCTTGTAATCCAGAGAATCCTTGTAATCCAGAGAATCCTTGTAATCCGGAGAATCCTTGTAATCCAAAGAATCCTTTTAATCCAGAGAATCCTTGTAATCCAAAGAATCCTTTTAATCCAGAGAATCCTTGTAATCCCGTAAAACAGAAGAAAGTGTCTTGAAGTTTATTTTTTTATCTCTCTATTTTTTTCCTTCATTTAATATATTGATTTGTTTTAAACCTCAACTTGTGCTCGTGATTACGAGAGCTCTAAAGCTAGATAATGATAATGATGATGATGCTAAGGATAATGATGATAACGATAATAATGACAGTAATGATAATGATGTTAATAATGACGATAATGATTTTATAAGGATAATGATTATGAAATTGACAATTATAATGATGATAGTGAAGAGGATGATAACGATTATGACAGTAATGGCAATGATAATAATAATGATGATAATAATGATAATAACTAGAAGCCGTCAGAGAACGCATCCTCCGCCAAGGCAACAGGGTCAAAGATGCAATGGAAATCCGGAAACAGAATCTCCTTGGCGGAAGTAATTAAGGTAATTAAGGTAATGATGATGATAATGGTTACTGATGCATTCCTTTAGAGAATTCCTAGACCCAGATCACCGCCCGGATTGAATGGCATCAAGTTGAGCCAAGTCACAACTCATGACTTGCTGTCCAACGCTCCCAGGCGGAGGTAATACTAATGGCAATAGCAATAAAATGATAATCATGATAATGATTAACAGTAATAATAATGATAATGATAATAATGATAATTATGATAACAGTAAAAATAATGATAATGATAATAGTGATACTGATGATAACTGTAATAATAATGATAATGATGATAATAATTGATAATGATGATAACAGTACTAATAATGATAATGATGATAATAATGATAATTATAGCAATAATAAAAAGATAACTATAAATTTTCATGTTTCTTTTCCGTTGTATTACTAATTTGAGAATTGCTTTTGTGCTAACGCGTTTTGGGCTGAAGATTTGCTATTACTATCATCATCATCATCATATTATTATTGTTGTTGTTGCTGTTGTTGTTGTTGTTCTTATTGTTGTTGTTATTGTTGCTGTTGTTTTTGTTCTTCTTCTTCTTATTAATATTATCATTGTTGTTGTTGTTGTTATCATTATTGTTTTGTTGTTGTTATTGTTGCTGTTGTTGTTCTTCTTATTGTTTTGTTGTTGTTACCATTGTTGTTGTTATTATTGCTGTTGTGGTTGCTGTTGTTCTTCTTCTTATTGTTGTGTTGTTGTTGCTGTTGTTCTTCTTCTTATTGTTGTTGTTATCACTGTTATGTTGTTGTTCTTATTGTTGTTGTTGTTATCATTGTTATTTTGTTGTTGATGTTCTTCTTATTATTATCATTATTATCATCATCATTATTAATTGTAGTAGTAATAGTATTGCTGTTGTTGTTCTTGTAACTTTTATCATATGTATTATTTTTATCATGTTTATATTTATTATTATCGTTATCATTGCTATTGCGATTGATGTGAATTCTTAATCTAGTATGTCATGAATACATTATGATTTGATAGCGTAGTCATTTTTGATCAGAAAAAAAAAAAAAACAATACATATAATAGTTTTCTGAAATCTATTTTGTTTATGAGTTCCTCTACCACTGCATCAATACATTAAAGTTTCTGTATTTTTTCCACATTATTGTTAGTATTATTACTTTCCATGTTATTGCTGTTATCATTATTATCATTATCATTGGTATTGTGATTATTGCAATGATTGCATTTTCATGTATGTTATTATTTTCATCATCGCAGGCGTCATAACTTCTTTCTCCATCACTTTTTTAATTACCAATTATCACTTTTTTAATTACCAATTATCACTTTTTTAATTACCAATTTTACCACCTTCAATCACCAACTACCACCCTCTGCCATCACCTTCCACCATCTGCCGTCTGCCGTCTTCCGCCCCCATGAACCACCTGCGCCAACGCAACGGCTCGTCCCTTCCCGCCGCCGCTGACCCCCCCCCCCCCCCCGCAGGCCGAGGAGGAGAAGCGGCGGAAGCGCGACGCTGCTCTGCGGGAAATCGAGGGGATCAGGAGGTGCAAGCTCTCGGAGGCCGCCCAGGAAGACCGGCTGAGGGACGAGGACCTGCGCTACTCCGCCTTCAGGAGAGCCTACGCCAGGAGGGTGAAGCAGAGGGTGCTGGATAAGATGCAGGGAAGAGGCCCCGCGCCCATCGAGGACCTGGACGAGGCGGCGGCGGCGGCGGCGGGGGAGGGGAAGGGGGAAGGGAAAGGGGTAGGAGGGATGGAGGAAGGATGAGGAAAGGGAAAGGGAAAGGAAGGGATGGGAGTAGGGGAGGGAGAAGGGGGGGGGGGCTCGGGAATGAGGTCTCTCCTTCAGGGAACTGAAAGGGGTGATACTGGCGCCGGCGGTGGGAGCGAGAGAGTCGAGGGAGGGGGAGGGGGGTCAAGAAAGGGTAGAGAAAGTAACGAAAAAGAAGAGAAGGAACAGAAAAGGAGAAGAAAACGGAAGCCCAGTCCTTTGCATGCCTTGGCAGGGTTGGCGAATAGGAGGGGAGGCGTAGGGTGAAGGATGGGAGGAGATGGGAAGAGGGATCGAGGAGAGTAAACTGGATAAGGCGCTCGTGATGCCTCGGAGGAGATGAGAAGATGAGTGGCACGAAGATTAGGGAGAGCAGAAGGAAAGGGAACTGGAGAAGGGAAAGGCTTTGGAAAGGAGGGAAGGAAGAATAGGTAAGGAAGGAAGATGTGTAGGGCTAATAGGAAGAAGTAAGAAGGGAAGGGATGAGAGGGGAAAGGAGGAAAGAAAGGGATAGAGAAAATTGGTTAAGAGGAAACGGTAAGAAAGAAAAAAGAGGAGGAAAGAGGAAGGAGATGGAGAAAACAGAAACCAGTAGGTCAAGAAAAGGAAAAAAAGAAAAAGGTGTCACAGAAAAGGAAATTCGTAAAGAAAAAAGAAAGAAAAGAAGGGAGGAACAAGAATAAACAAGAATTGCAAGAGAAATAGGAACAATTTATATAAACAGGATAACAGACAAGGAAGGTAATCCGCGGACGAGAGAAAATGTTTTGCATTCGAGGCCGGGAATCCTATTAAAAGATTAATGAAAATAGTTTTAGCCGAAAGAATAAACTATTCTCATGGCCTTAGAAAAGGAAGAATGGGATAAGCAGCGCGTCAGAAGATGGAAATGAGATGCTGAGAATGTAAGACTGGGAAAATGATTTCCTTGCATGATATGCTTTCGAGAAATAAACCAAAATGTGTAAAGATGGAAACCATTCTTCTGTTGCACTAAAATTTAAAGGAAATTAGCCAAAATGTATGAATATGGAAACCATTTCCCTTTTGCATTTAATAAAAACGAGAAAAAAAAGACTATTTATTCCTCTCACCCGAAAGAACATAATTCAATGATTGTATCTTTATTGCGGGTCAATTTGGAACACTATCTCTCCACATTTGTTTATTTTTTATCCATTAATGCTATAACTATTCTTTCCTAAGCTTTGTATAACATTTAGAACTCTCTATTGCATTAAATTCTCCTTCGTTCCGATAGACCACACGGACCTTATTAAGAATGCTGAATAGGTAATGCTGAATGCCGGCGAGAGAGCAGGTCTGTTGCAATTTCATTTCGCAGCAGGAATGGAGTTGGGTTCACAAACATGCGCGCACATACATTCATACATACATACAAACACGTGCAGAGAAACATATACACATACATACACAACCAAGGAGTTTTAGCATCGTATTTACCTGGCTCCTGGAAGGTGGTGTTGGGAATTGGGAACCGTTCCGGCTGATAGACACTGGGTCTGTCGATGTGTTGTCTCTGACCGTCTGTCTGTCTGTCGTCTGGCTCTCTCTCTCATTCTGTGTGTGTGTATATATATCTATATCTATCTATCTATATATGTATATATATGTGTGTGTGTGTGTGTGTATTTGCATATTTATATAGATAGATAGATAGACAGGTAAAGATAAATAATAATACTACATTATGTATTATACGTATATGGACCTGGTCATACCTGCACTTGCATGTCTCAGGACGGGGACCTCCGCTCCGTCGCCGCCTGGGTCGTCCTTGCAAGGCCGCCACAGACTCGGATGCAGCTCGTGGTCACGTCTCTTGACCTGCCGCGGGGTCGTCCTCGCCTTCCGATCCCAG